CCCCCCCCCCCCGGTAATTTCCACCATCCCGAGGGAACCTGCCGGGCCCCCGCAGCCTGCGCGTGGTGTACCTCCTCAGCTGTGTATTGGGGAGGGGGAGTTTTGGCTTCTGTATCTTGAACCAAGAGGAGCCAGGAGGCCCCTTCCCGGGCGGCCTCCTTTGCGGCCTGATCAGCTAATTGATTATATCTACGTTGTTCGACCTCCGGGGCCCTTCCATGGGCACGCACATGTATTACGGCAACCCGGAGGGGAAGCATCAAAGCCTTAAGAAGTGTTTTGATGAGACTCCCATGTGCAATTCTTTGGCGTGACGCTGTGATAAATCCCCTTTCTCTCCACAGGGTCCCGTGAGCATGTACCACCATATAGGCATAGCGACTATCAGTATATAGGTTAATAGTTTTCCCAGTTCCCAACCGGAGAGCCTCGATAAGAGCCACTAACTCCGCCGCTTGGGCGGACAAATTAGGGCTGAGTTTAAACTTGTATATTCCTTTGTCCTTAATTACTATTGCTGCTCCGGTAAACCGCTTGCCCTCTATCACATAGGTGGACCCATCAACGTACCCTTCAATTTCAGGGTTGGGCCACGGCAAGTCTGAAAGATCAGGGCGAGGTTTGGTTTCCTGTTGCAAGACTTCAATACAATCATGAGTGGGGCCCGTCTCATGGGAAACCCTAGGGGCGGGCAATAGGGTCGCCGGGTTGAGGGAGCTAACTGTCCTAAAGGTTAGGTGAGGGGCTAGCAAGAGCCCTACTTCATACCTGGTATGTCGGCTGGGATTTAAATGCTTTTCCCCAGCGCCTGTTCCCAGTATTTGAGGCACCCCGTGGGGAACCACAACCTCAGTGTCCCCTCCCAGGGTCAATTTTTCAGCCTCCTGTACAAGGACAGCGGTTGCTGCAACGGCCCGTAAACAGGCAGGCCAGCCCTTGGCGACAGGGTCCAACACCTTTGAGTAGTATCCAATGGGTCGCCAGGTTGGTCCCGACCTTTGGCATAGAACTCCAGCAGCCACCCCTCCCCTCTCATGAACGTATAGTGTGAATGGCCTCCGAGGGTCTGGGAGGGCTAGAGCAGGAGGCTGAACCAAGGCTTCTTTTAGCTCTCGAAATGCTTTTTCCATCTCTTTGGTCCACGTCCAATGGAGCAGACCCTCTTTAGTTAAGGATTCATATAATGGTTTGGCTCTTCCCCCGTAGTCAGGGATCCAGAGCCGACAAAAGCCAGTCAATCCCAGAAAAGCCCTTAATTCTCGGGGGCTCCGGGGTTGAGGGCTATTAAGTATAACCTGGATTTTTTCTTTACCCAGACTACGACTTCCTTGACACAAGTGATACCCAAGAAAAGTGACCTGCTGTCTAACCAGTTGCGCCTTTTCCTTTGAGACCTTATACCCCTGTGCCCCAAGGTAATTAAGGAGCTCTATAGTTTGCTCTTTACAGGCTGCCTCTGTTTTAGTACTTAAGAGCAAATTATCGCAATACTGGACTATATTACATGAAGGGTGTTTAGCCAGGAATGGGGCGAGGTCCCTTCTTAACTGGCTGCCAAAAATCTCGGGTGCACACCTAAGTCCTTGTGGGACAACGGTCCAAAAGGTACTGAGCTTTGTAGTGGGTATCTGGGTCTTTCCACTCAAAGGCAAACAGTCTCTGGGACTCCAAATCAAGGGGGATGGAAAAGAAGGCATCTTTTAAATCTATGACAGAGAACCAACTGTGATTTTTGGGAACTTGGCCCAGAATAGTGTGGGGATTCGGGACGACTGGATAGGGGGCTTCTATTAACTTGTTAATCTGTCTTAGGTCCTGGACCAACCGATACTGCCCATTAGGTTTAGGCACCCCCATTATCGGAGTGTTGTATGGGGACGTGCCTTTCCTGAGCCACCCACACTGCAGAAACTTTTGAATCAGAGGCTTTAACCCGATTCTAGTGGTCAGCTTAAGAGGGTATTGTCGAATTCTGACCGGGCTGCTTCCTTCTTTCAGGGAAATATGCACTGGTGAGGCATTCCGGGCCCGAGCGACGCCTCCCTCCTCTGCCCAAACCTCTAGGTTAACCCCTGACAGTTGGCTCTCTTCACTCCTCCCCTGGCATTCCGGGGAGTGATCTCCAGCGCTTATCAGGGCCATCTGATAGTTGGAGGATTGCTGCTTAGGGAGTCTAACTTC